GGAGCAATGGAAGATGAGCTGCCAGGTCTTTTATTATCTGTGACTCCCTGACTATTGGTGGTGAAGAGAGTTCTTGCACAAAAGCTTTATGTATATCAAGGCTGCTACCAGGAAGGGGGAATTCATCATGATAGAGATGAATGCAAACACGGAGCTTCTGCTCTTGCCCTCCCTCTCTTTTTGGGCTGTCCTTCTCTCTGACACAGATACTGTGGTGCTCTGTGTATAGTTTGCAACTTGATTTGCTTAAGACTCCCCAGAAACAAAGAGATGCTGAAGGCCGGATCACCCTAATATAACAACTAGACTGTTTTCTGGGAACTGCTGGCTTGGTTAGAAGAGAAAGTCAGGGAAGGAAGCCCCTGAGAGTGGGCTGCAGCAATGCCCTGATGGCAAAGCAGGGAGCCAAGAGAAGGATGCTGATCCAGGTCCCTTCACCTGCAGCCAGGGCACATCATTCCTGTGACCCATTAGAGCTCTCAAAGACCCGGCAGATGATTCAAAAGGTCATACCCAAACAACTGTTACAGTGTAGAAACTTGGTGCCAGATTCATCAGGTCAATAATAACCAAAGTGAGAAAGAAAAAGCCTACACAACCAATTTCATTTCCTTTTTGGTGCCAGTAGCTCTAACACTGCCTCTTGCTGTTTCTTCCACATTTCAGAAGCCTGTGGCTTGCTGCTTTCCATAAGGCTCTGACAACTCTCAAAGTATGGCAGAAGGCAGCTAAGCTCTGCCTAGCTTTGGCTGTGAGGGCTGTTTTGCAGAGGGGAAAGCAGCGTGCAGCAGAGAAGTCTGGCATCATGGTAGGGCGCCTCAGTGTCCAGAGGCAGGTCACCACAGGAGCATTTTGGGTAGGGTAGCTACCTAATCAAAATGCATGACATGCAGAAGATCAGGAGTTTGGCTACAAGACGGGGCCTGCAGTTTGCAGGTGGCCCATAGCAGATGATCCACCACACTAAGCACATAAAGATGTTCTTTTTTTCCCCATGTGTTGGATGTGTGTGTGTACGAGCAGGGCTGGCTGAGGGTCCTGGCAAGATAAGCCTTTTCTAGACTGTGGAAAGCTCTACTTATCTTGAATTGGCCAGATTTAGCCCAAAATCTGTCTGTCCCCCTGTATGGAAGATCTAACATACGGTATCAGCCATCAACTGAGGGAAGGATTGAGTCCCTCCCTACTGCTGTCTGTATAAACAAGTACGCAGCTGCACTGACAGACACACATATAGAAAATGGTGTCAGAGATTCCAGCTGTCCCAGGGGTGACAGAATGGCCAAGCAGCCCTGAACACAGTGTACAGGCAAATGCTGCAGACTTGTTTTTGCCAGGGTGCTGCCACTGCCTGTGCTTGGGATGTGCCAGTCCTGCTCGCAAGCCAAATTGCACTGTGAGGCTGAGATTCAAAGAGGGGTGGGTCCAAACCCATGTACACATCCCCCTCTCCCTGGCTTTGTAATTGAAGAACAGATACAGAGCTCAGTAGCCTTGCACGTGGCCGCCCTAAAGGAGCATTTCTTTCAGCAAAGAGACTGATTCTTGAGACAGCTTAAGCAGGGAAATGTCAGTTTGACAACCCCTTCAACGAGCTGCACAGACCAGCCTCTCCAAGACGGGGTCAAAGGAAATGAGAGTGAAAAGTGATGAGGGGGAAAGGCAGCTGAGAACTGCAGGTGCTGAAGCAATGGGCTGCAGGGAAGATCCAGTGTAATGGCGGTGTGGTGTGCTGGCAGCATGACACACAGAGGCGAGTCGATGCTCTGATGAGCAGAGCTGCAGGATGGCTTGAAGGTAAATAAGCAAAGCAATTAAGCCTGTCCTTCAGGACAAAGGACTGCACGTGGCAAATCTCAGCCTCATTCCAAAGATATTAAAGATGGACTCTGGTGTGTGCTAAGCAGGGGGTCTAGTTGATGAAGGTATCGGTTTCCCTGGTCTGCATTGGTCCTTTGCTTCAAACCCATCAAAGGTTACAAGCCCTGCAGAGACAAATGGCACACAGAAAACAGAGATGCTCTGAAGGATTAGAGCATGCATCTCCCTTCTAGCCCAGCGGGCTCAAGCTGCCAGGGCTGGGCATGGAGCGGCGGGGGGGCACAAGCAGATCTAGGGAGTGGTACAGTCGTGTCTCATAGCTCTGCAGCTTTGCTTGCACGGGTGTGCATGGGCTGGTCTTGACAAAGAGGAGAGCTTGGGCTGCAGATGCCTCTCAGCCCTGGGACCTTCCAAACCTAGGAGCCGCAGGTCTTGCTTTCCAGCAAGGCAGTTCACCCAGCTCACTGACAGGCCCCTTCCCAGCTTGTTCGGGGTGAGCAGAGCCTTTCCCAGGGTGCTGGTGCTGGGAGGAGGGATGAGTGCCACAGAGAAGAACGCAGCCGCCAGCAGCATCAGGGCTGTGGGCTGAGGGGAGGCAGGTGGCTTCTCCACACACCCCCCCACCGGCATCTGACAGAGCTTCCAAGCTGGGAGCGAAGCCTTTGTCTGCCAAAGCAGGGAGCGCCTTGGCCAGGGTTGACCCAGCTCCCTCCCTGCAGCCCTGTGGCGGGTGCAGCTGTGCCTGGTCCTGCCTGGAACCCAGAGCACTGTCCCCTGTGCCCAGAGTGACTGCACGTTCCTGCTGCACTGGGAGAGCAGCTGGCAGCGAGTTCACATGCGGGGATGCTGCTTCCCACCTCCCCTGCCCGGCTGCTTTACCGGAGTGCTGGTAAATGATGCTCCATGTCCCCTGCAGTGGCGATAGAGATCCCATCTACCCTCGGGGAGATCACCTCCACCCACCTTGGTGCTCCGCACGCAATGGCCACCACAGCTCCCTGACCCCCCCTCAATGGACTCTCCTTTACCCGTCCCCCAGGGCTTGCCCTCTGCCAGCACAGCGACATGGCCCTGGAGAGAAATGGGGTTACTGTGCCCAGGGACACAGTGTGCTGCTGTGGTTTGGATGCCTTCAATCACACCATGGGGGTAGGAGGCCTTTCAGGTATTTTTTTTGCAGAGGAAAATCCCCCAGTGCCTCATTTTTCCATGTTTGGCCCCAGATGGCCTCTGAAGCACAGAATGTGGCATTCTGGAATCCCAGATGCTTTTAGGGGAAATTATGTGTTATATAAAGCATCGTTTGAATTTTTTATCTGATGTGCCTTAATCCATGTGGCATCAGGCTCATGCTGAATTGTGACGAGAATCAGACACCACAGCGCTGGCCTATGAAGTTATGCAGCATGTGGGAGCAACCTGCATGTGGTTGGACATAAGGAATTTTAAGAAGGATCCAAAAGGTTACTCCTAAAATCCCAGTCCCGAAGAGGGCTTCCTAGTCCACCCACAGAATGTGCTGCTCAGGTTAGCTGTCACCTATTATTTATGGGAGGATGTCATGAAATGTGAAACAGAGCAGCTCTGTTAGTATCTCTGCTGACAGATAACAATATTCAGGTATCAATGCCATCTCTTCCAAGTAACATCATCTTGTCCCAGGTAATAAGGACAAGAGGTAACTGCCACAAGCTGTGCCAAGGGAGGTTTAGATTGGTTATTAGCAGGAATGTCTTCACAAAAAGGGTGATCTGGCATTGGAACAGGCTGCCCAGGGAAGTGGTGGAATCACCATCCCTGGAAGTGTTCAAACACCTTTAGTGACATGGTTTAGTGGTGGTGCTGGCAGTCCTGGGGTAATGGTTGGTCTTTTCCAAGGTAGCTGATTCTGTTGCTGTATGGTTGTCCACAGAAAGTTGTCCTCTGCCACATGAGACGTTTCAGGCTATTTTCTGAATCCCCAGACAGGAGTGTTCTGGTCATTGCTGCCAATACTGTCTGAATGACTTGTGCACTTTTGACCATCTCAAACAGCATTGGACTCACTCACATGCAACTCATTTGAGCCCCAAGCCTACAAATGGCTCCCTAAATTCTGCCCACTATTATCCACCCTCTGTGGGGAATCTGCAGTTCCCTATTGCAAATTCGAGAGGGCAACCATACTTGCGGCAAAGCCATCAATTCACAGTAAAAGCCTTCAAGTAACAGCAATGCTGTGCAAAAACAGCCTTTGAGAAGCATGTTTCCAAATGCTTAGCAGCAGGATTAGAAGGTTGCTGGCTCTTAACTGTGAGCTTTGCAGATGCTAGGGGCTGGCAAAGCAAAATCTGTATCACATGAAAAAGTTGATCAGGTCTGACTCTCTCCTGCCCTGAGATTACTTTTCTCACTACAAAGCATTTCTCCTCACCAGTAAGTTCAAAGTACATATGGGCATGAAGATAGCGTATTGTTCACCAGCTCAGTGTTCTGCTGAGCAGCCGCCTCGCTTGTTCTCTGTCTCAGGTTATAAACACTGCTGAGAAGCTGAAAAATTTCTCACAGCTTAAATGACAAAATCATGATAACCTACCCTGTCTTACCCTACTGTGAGCTCTACTTTAATAATCCTGTTTAATCATTAAATCACAATAAAAGCAAGCCAAGAAGTAGAAGGTGAGAGCCAAGCCAAGGCGTATCAGGGCACTGCTCAAAACTTGAACTCAGCACTGTTAGCTAGAGACAGAGAAAGCCACATAAAGGGGTAGCAAAGCTGTTGTGCGAAGGGTCAGAAAGATGTGGCAGAAAATTCCTATCTGTTGGGACTGGTTGGAGGAGCCAGAGCCAGCTGTGAGCTGCTCCTGTTAGTCAGGAGTCTGCAGTGGTGCCCTATTTACATCCTTTTCCCAGGAGACCATCTTGTTATCTAACACACACACTCCATTCAAGCCTTGCTATTGACATAGATGCTTTGACTAAACCCTTATGCCTGATGATTATTGAGTGAAACAGTGGTTGCTGGTTATTTTCCAGAATGTTTTACTCTCCACTGAAGGGTATAAAGAATAGGACATATGTGTTCTCTGCCCACCTTGCTGCATATTGTCTTATGATAAACTGATTTTTCCAAAGGAAATTTCATTCAGAGGTGACGTTAAATAAAATATTAAATAAATAAATGGAAAAGCAGGAAAAGAGATCATACAAAAAAAATAAAACCTGAGAAGACACAATGCTTCTGTCACTCAGCTGGAGACACTGAGAATGGGTTAAGCCAAGCCCTGCCTGTAGATGGATCCAGGACTCACACCAATTCCAGCAGGATTATTCGTGTGCACATGCATGCATGACAGAACAGATTTGGTCCTTATTGCTTTCACTTTTCCAGGATGCTCAGTTTATTTGTGCATTTCAAGAAACAGGCCAGTACAGTCAGATGTTCTGTACCTGGGTTCCCCTTCCCACCCCAAAACAGAAATAATTGTATGCTAAAAGCATCACCCATGCCAGAAGATGAGAGAGCCAAATCCTTCCCAAGGCAAAGGACTCACCAGGATTTCACCTGAGTAAGGACTAATAAAAGAACTTCCCCGCAGTCTGTGACAATTTGGCTGAAGAGACAATGAGTCAACTTTGTATTTTCATATCACAAGAACAGAGTGGATGGGAGCACACTCTTGCCTCAGCTTCCTTGAAAGCAGGGAGTGATAGGATTGTTATTGCTGAGGTCATTACAGAATTTGGGTTTCTATGCAGAAAGCTGCCTCATGTTTTGCAGTCTGAAATGGGGCATATTTTGTCTTCATTGTCTCACTACCACATCTTGTAGGATTTGACTGCAGTATGGAAGCATCCCAATGTAACTTTACAGTGCATCATGTTACTGTAGTAACTTATTACTGGGACACCTTATGTTATCTTTATTGCTGCAGTACCTGGTACAAATGTACCTCCGTTTGTCCTCACACACCATTATTACTGCCTTATTCCCCAAACTAATTTACTGCAGCGTCCTGTTGTGCCTTATTGCTGCACTATCAAAATGCTACTTTACTGCAGTGGCCTGTGTTACCTTATTGCTACATTTATCCTGGTATTATTATGTCAGCTTACTGCCACTTTTTATGGCTGCCCTGCTACCATTTTATTACAGTACTCTATGGGACCTTAGCGCTGAGTTATACTGAGAGTACATTAATCCATTTGCTTTAGCCTAATGCTGTCTGCACAGGCTCGTTGAACCTTACTAGTGTGTGTCCTGGTGCTGTTTCACCACAATAGCCATGAATGCTCTGGATACTCTATTATCCAAATAACAGTGTATAGCCATATTTCACAGCCATAGCCCTGTTAAGTATCAGAAGCTTTGTAGCTAGCTTGCACAGCACGGACATTGTAAAAGCTTTCCAGACTGCCTTTCCCTGAAACAATGCCATTTTGCCATTTCGAACATAGAAGTGGAAAGCTGATTTCCTAACTCATCTTCAGGACAATGAGGTAGTTGGAAGACATGGAACTCTTATAAAGCAGCAGATTACTGCTTGCAACACTCAGTGGGATACTGGTGGGTGTACAAGAGTAGCATCGCTTGGAAAAAACAATGTCATTAGAAAGCAATTATTCAAGGATGCAGCTCAAGTGGAAGTAGTTACATGTTGGTATCATCATATGTGAAGTAAAGGACATGTGAAAAGCAGTTCATTCGTGTTCCCAGGAGGAGGTCTTGTCTACTCTCATACTTGTTTTAGAGAAATGAGGAGCAGAGCTTTCTTCTCTCCAGAGAATATGCATCTCTGTCCGCTCAGCTAGCCATTACTGAGCAGATTAGCTTGCACAAGTGTGCATTTAAATGGCAAGCTGTTCAGCATCCAGGCCCCATGATGTACGCCCATATGCATGCTCTCTGTCCATAAGAATTCCCTTCATGTACTCAACAGTTCAAACACAGCATATTCCCAACAGACAAAACACTGCAGCAGCCAACATGACTGTCTTGCAGGAATGGAGCAGGAAAGACAAAGCAGGGTCCTTTGCTCATGGGGCAGTGGCACAGCTCCAAGTTAGTCTGACATTGCTGCTCCCCGCACAGACCATAACCCAAATTCCACCTGTCCCATGCACCTGCATGATCCTCCAGCCCTCTACACATGTGCTTCATGCTGCAGGACACTGAGGAGTAACTCCATGGAGCTACCCCATATCTTTCCCCCAGAGACCTGTCCAATGTCAGGAACTCACTGCAAAGAAGAGACTCCCTGGTAACTTTACTGTCTCTGCTCCTTGCTACACATCAGAGTTCTTTGCTCTATGTATACAGCCCCCTCAGGAATGCTCTGCAGACCAGTTTCAGGGTTTGTAGGCCAGACCTCCCATGGGATATGCCTCCGCTTAGAAGCTGGGCAGCACTTGCAGTAGATTAGCTTGTGGTGTGAGCAGTTGTTGGTTTACAGAGCTCCAGTGACGGATAGCAATGATGGGTTTGACACAGATAACATCAACAAGGCTCTGAGAAGAGCCAGCCTTTGCCTTTTCCTAGGGACAATGTACAGGGACACATATGAATGCGCATGAATGAGCCTGTTATGCACCGACTTGCTATTACCCAAGGGGACCCATTGGTTGGGTGGGTAACAGAGGACAAATGTGCCCTGCAAAGTGACAGTTTGGAGGGAGGCAGGACACCACACGAATGTACAGGTACATCCATGATGGTGCTGCAGTCCTGGAGCTCACTGTGTGTCATGTATGTGTAGGATGAATTTGGTCTAAAGACCTCAGAAAACAGTGTTCATGGGAATAGGCGTATGTAAAGAGCAAATACAATACTCAGTATTCTACTGTACATTCATGCAGGTGTAGAGGGTCCTAGGGACCTTAGGTATTTTATTAGGTAGAAATTTTCGGGGGGGAAAAAACAAAACAGGTATCAAACAAGAAATGTTATGGGTAAAGAAGGAAGGTCCTTCTTCTGATAAACTATGCTGGCCTGATTTTGTGCATATATAGGCCCAAGATATTAGATTAATACTTGCTTCAGAAGTTAATACTGCCAATAGCCAGCTGTCTACTTAGCTAGATGGTTTTGCCTAGGTAGGAATGCAGACTTGTAGCCATATAGCAATTTCTACCACCTGCACAAAAAGCCAATTTGCCTTGGCATGAGTGAAATGTCAACCAAGAAAAAATGTCTGTTTTCACATGCGCTTCGGATCTTAACTGCTTGCAAATTACAGGAGGTTTTGTGTCACTAAGTCAGATGAGTCTTGAAATGTTCATATGTAGGCAATACACTGCATGTAAATACAGTCCATTTTCCTATCTGCAGCTAGGATACATGTTTTTTTTTTTTTAAATTAAAGTCACTTCACATCTGTTCTCATTCTACCCTCCATACTCCCAACAGTTTGAAACAAGTTACTGGGTCATCACTTGCAGTTGTATTCATGGGCTGTAGGTCAGATGAGTTTTAGCGGAAGTTCATTTCCTCCAGTGGTACAAGTGCACTCTTACAAGGGTGCTTCTCGGGGGACTCAGTTACCTGAACATTATACCACAGCTGATTGTGATGCTTTTTAGGAAGGGCTACCTGGCACCCAGTGCCCTGCCTGTTCCCACCCTGCTTCTGCTGATGCCATCTCCACCAATTCCCTTCTCACTGCAGAGTGAATTTTAACACCTGCCCACATCAGAGTTTCCTTTCCCTGTACACACGTGAGCAGATTTCAGCCCTCTGTGATTGGAGTTGGAGTCTAATTTTATCTACTCAGAGTAAAGCTTGAACATCCATCTTTAAGTATGTAAAACATTAAATAAATAAAAAATCAAATACAGTATAAAACAACTCACTTTTAAATACTATGCGTGTGTGTGTGTGTGCACATTACACATTGAAAACATGACTTTTTGAGCATCAGGCAGAGTCTGACCACATTTGTACTACGCACACATGCAGAGCAATTCCACCGACAGAGGATTTGCACCAGGATCAGTCTGACTCAATGGGGCAGATCCTCAGGTGATGAAAACCACTTGTGCTCTCTTGACTTCAGCTGAGGATCTGGCCATCATCTCTGGGCATGCTACATGCTATTGGAAGGACAGTGAGTGATGAACTTAAATGTGCCTTTTTCTTTTCCGTTGCTTTAAAGGAGGAGAAATATACGAAAGAAAAACAAAGTTAAAGTCAATGAATTTTCAGGAGAAGTTAATTTGAGATTTTGTGAGAAGGAGAAGCAGCTTTCAGCAGATGTTTTATTGGATCCAGACGGCCGCAAGAAAGGGAGCAAGTGAGATTGCAGCCATGTTTGTGCAATGAAGAGAAGAGATGAGGGAAAAGTACCTGTCTCTCTCAACTCTTCTTTCCCTAAGCTGTGGTTGGGTCTGTTCCCTTAAATAACAAGACAGCAAGCCCTTGCCTTGTTGACCTTCTGTGTACAGTGAAGTGTGCTCCTCCAAACCCTGGTCAGAAACAAAGTACCTGCACAGAGCTCAGTGTCCTGTGCAGGCAGGAAAGCGTTGATGTAAACTGTGACGAGAGGCGCTCCCCTGGTGCATGGCTCTGCTTGTGCTCACTCAGGCTCTTTCCCTGCAGGGATCTGTTCTCCCTGGAATGCCCCATCCCCAGCAGCGGTCCCAAGTGTCCTTCCCGTGGGGTGGTAGGCTGAAGCCGTCAGGAGGACTGCATCAGGCCCGTGAGACGCTTGCTCGCCAGAGACTTTCCCTGGAGGGAGGGACAGACAGACAGACAGACACAGAAGAGACCAGGAGGTGTGAGTGATGCTGTGGATGGTTTGACTGCAAGTAACAGGCAGGTGCCTTCCCCCAGGGCTGCCCATTCTGGCTCTCCCAACAGGGAGGCAGGTGATGGGGAATGAGCAGACCCCCAGCATTTTGGGTGCTTGTGATTTTTGCCTCAGGCAGGTAGTTTGGCAAGGAGGGCTTGTGGCTAGTGATGTCCAGGTGGCTATAGCTGAAAGCTGTTTCCTGGGATGCTGTTTCCTGCGACACTGTCTCCAGTTACCTGGGAACTGGTAAAAGCAAAGCCCTGTCCTACACTCACTGCTATTCATCCTGCCCAGTGCTGTCCTGCCAGTGCCAGGCCACAGCTCCCATGCAGAGCACTACTCCAGGTGCAGAAGAGCTGCAAAGTCAAACTGCTGTGAAAGCTGGGATGTCCCTTCCACAGTTTGTGAATCAGTATCACCTGCACAGCATCCATCAGAAATACATCTATTGGAGAAAAAGCTCAGCCTGTGCCTGTCCTGTCACCACCCCACTTTGACCTCTCCTTGTTTTCATGTGTCTTGGTCACTGCTTATCCACTCCTGCCTGGCCTCCCTGTCTTCCTCAAGATCTCCCCCAAGCTACCACCGCAGGTTCATGGCCGTGGCAGCCTTGCTTGCATACTGCTGGCATCCACACGGGCTTTGTCACTGACTGGCAGGAACAAGAAACAGGGAGAAGGTCACCTTCACGTCTGGATCCCTTCACTGGCTTAGGCCATGCAGCTCCTGCTTTTGGGAGCAAGGCAGGACCTACAGCTGGTTTTCTCCATTTGCAGACTATAGGAAGGGTATATCCCCACAGGGGATACTGATGGCTTTGCAATTACTGATGTAACAGTGAAAAATTGATTCAAGTACTGCAGCAGTTGCTAGGTTCCTTTAGTGAGCTTTCCTCTTGAAGGAAGATTTGTTTTTCTTAAAAGAAAAAGAAGTCTTGGTTGAAATAAACATCCAGGGAATACCAGAGAGCTGTGGAATACCTAGGAGCTCTTAAACAAACTCCTCTATGTTACTATATTTAGCCAAGCTTTCTTTTGCAATAGAAAGTCTTAATAATTGCTGTTCGAAAGAAAGAGCCACAAAAATAGCAACGAAAACAGACGATACAGTGAAAATGAGTACATGCAAAACGCAGGAAAATCTGAAAGGTTAAATTTACCAGGTTATTTGAAATAAGCCTTATTTAACAAGTTAACATTCTAAGAAAAAAGAAACCCCACACTCTGATTTCTAATCTCTTCTCATTTAGGGCTGTTCCAGCAGGATGTAACAGTTCCCTACAGAAGCCTCATTTCGTTACCCAGACGTGCACCTTTTGTCACATAATTTGCTCAGCTGCACAAAGACACATGACCTGATCTGGCCACATTCTGTACATCAGAAGTTGGCTGCTGGAAACACTGTCATCATTCAGACTGTCATGCCCAGGACCAGAGAGCAACAGTTACAGCTCCGTGGCTGCTCCATCTCTACAACAGAGCTCACACCAAGGGCATGGCTCACGAAGAACCAGCTGCCTCCCGGAGCTCCACAGACATGCCAGTACCGCTGCCATTTAAGGCATACGTGCTTGCTTTCACTATAAATCTAATCCTTCACTATTATTATTTTTATATGTAGTTCTGGGAAGCTTGGCCCAGTGCTGCCCCAGAGGTAGCCAAGTCTGTGGGGCAGCATGGCAGTGCTTGGGGGGCTGCAACTGTGGCTGTCATTTTGCTGCTGTTGAGTAACACCAGAGAAAGAATGGTAAGGAATTATCAATTCCTGAATCCCATTTATATGAAAAAAGAAGGGAAAGATGTGGATTTTTTTTTTTTTTTTTTTTTTTAGAATAACGTGGCTGGTTTTAGAAAAAAAGATGTTAGTTTTCACCTAAATTTGGGTACATCCTTAGGAACAAAAAAACCCAAGTAAGCCTTGGGTGTGTATAATGACTGTTCAGGCAGACTAACTAATCTGTGGCACGCTGTTCCTCTTGTTATCTCCTCACAGGCAGGCGGCTTGGGGGTACGCCAGCTCCCTCATCAGGGTCCAACCGGGGTGAGGAGTAAACGTTGCTCCACAACAAGCCCGTTTCAACGTGCACGTGTTCAAAGCGGGAACAGGGTAATGCTGGTGCTGGGCTGGGCTGGGCTGGGCTGAGGGGACAGCTGGCAGAAAGGCTGCCTTGGGGAAGGTGGGCAGAGCTGATGGCTGTGGTTTGTGCAGAGCAAAACCTCGCTCACAGGTTTCCCAGTGGGAAGCTGCTTCCAGTCACGGGCAAAGGTGGAGGGCTTCATCTGCAGCCCCCCCATCCTGAGGGAAAGGTGTAAGCCCGGGAACACAGATCTGATGGCTGGCTCTGCAGCAAAGTTTCTGCCTGCAGGGTGGGATGAATCCCAAGCACGGAGCCTGGCTGTCTGGGAGGATAACTGCACCGGGGAAATGTGAGGTGCAAATCAGCTTCGTGTGCACAGATGGGTGTGAGAAGCTCCATTTCAAGACAGTGAGAAGTAGGCAGTGATGCTGTCTGCTTGGCTGTTGTGTCCACCTCTGTGATATGACAGATGGCAAAAGGATCCCTGGAATCACATACAGGGATTAAAGCTGTGAAATTTTTGCCTGCAAGTGAGAGAGCACTGGACTGTAAATAAGTGTAAGATCCAGTTTTGCTACCAAATAGGCACACTGATGTAGGGGGATTTTGTTTCTACCCAATGCGGAGACAAGCATCAGCCTCACAGCGTGAGTCTGAGCAATATCAGTATCTGCAGGGTAGAGGTGAGTGGGATGCAGACACTCAGTTTGGGATTCTCTAATTTTAGATATCCTCATTAAAGAGGATCATAGAATCACAGGATCAGGGAAAAAATGCATTGCATTAGGAAAAACTGGTATCTGTTTCCTGTTACTAAAAAGAACAACAAGGGAACAAAACATTGTGTTACAGGTGGAAATGCTGCATGGGTTCCAGGATCCACTTGCCAAGGTAAATCAACATGACTCAGTTGCCTCCACAGAACTGCTGCTGATTCACATCAGTTGAGCGGCTGGTGTGGGCATCTCTGTTTCAGGTTTAGCCCTCCAGGGCTTCTTGGGCACAAAGTCCAGCAGGAGACACAAGAGGTTTGTGCTAGCTGACTGATAAAAGTCAAAGCATAGCACACGTGGCAGCTCCTTTGGGATGGTCTGGCAGCTTACCCCCAGAAGCCAGCACCCACCCCAGGACCCCAGCCTGTCTGTCCAAGCCCCCTGCTCCTGCTTGCCATGGCTAAATCAGTTCATAGTTGGGCACAGTACATGCCAAACAAGTTCAGACCTGAGAAGCCATGTTGGGTCTCATCTGACACTTGGCTGGGATTCCCTCAGGGGGAATTCTGATGGAGTGAGGAAGTTTCGGATTATTACAGTGTGAAAGTTTGGCACTAAGAACACCTAGTTTCTTTAGAAAGTTTCAACCAGAATACATGATTTTTTCCTCCCACACATCTTTGTTTAGCATGAAACCAGTGGCTACCCACACATTTCTACCTCTCCTTTCCCCACTGAAGGAAAATGTCAACAACTCCTGCCCTATTTCCAGGAGAAATTTCATCTAAGGTGTTTTGGCAGGGGATTTGGAAAGCATATGATTTCAAGCTCAGCACACAACAGCGCTTCTTTTACTTTGTCGTATGCATATGCTGAACAACTTAAGGCAAGGTAAGAGTGGATGTAAGGAGTAAACTTTTTACATGGGGTCTAAAGCTTATAAAGAAACCCCCAGCCCCCCAGCTGCAAAATATTTGTCACTACTAATTAGGGTTACAACAATTACAACCCCAGACTGTTGTCACTCAAGCAGCATAGCACAAGCAGTAGGGCATATGTTGTAGGGCATATGCTGTGTGTCTTGTTGGATGCAAGAAGTCTTTCTTTTCTCTCATTCCCTGCAAGCAGCTGAGCTGTAACACAGCTTTTAGGCAAGGATCACGTGCAGCTTCACTATGTCTTGGTAAAGGTAATGTCCAGTTCTCTTTATGCAGCTGAAGGAATGATTATTTTTTTACCCCTGAGCACTGACATGATAGGAGCCTCAGGTTTTAGAGGCAGTGTAAAATCTGAATTTCGAGTAACCTAAGGTAATTGTTAAAAAACCTTACGAAACTGCCCCCCCAATCTGATTTCTAAATATGTGGTGCATCCTACTGCTTGGCTGCATGTCAGGCAGAGGACCAGACCTCAGCACCTGCGGACCATCAGGGCTCTCACTGAGGCACAGGGAAGTGAAGTTTAACCTGTAGGTCACAGGAGATACTCAGCATCTTTGATGGCTGAGCCTTTGCTGAGCAGCTACTAAACTAAAGTGTAAAATGCAATTAGCAATTATTTTAATGAAGCAGAATTCAGCAATTTAACATAGGCAAGAAGCCAAGTAAGAGGAATAAAAATATGTCTGGGATTTGACACAAAAAAGGAAGACAGCATTCCTTTCATACCTCCTGTACGAGCCAACGGAGTTTCCATCTTGCTCTTTGCTTTTATCTACCAAAACCAGCACTTTGCACAGTTGGGAGAGAAGGCAAAGGCTGTGAACTAGCTTTTAAAAATAATTTTAAATAGAAAGTTTAGTTTTATCCAGTGCCTGTGGTTTCACACAACATTAACGTGCTCTGCCCAGCACAGAGTGCAGTTCGTGTATCTAGCATGCGGGCATTCACCACCACCAATATGCACAAGCCAGCACTCCCATGCATGCCATCAACAACTTACCTGAAGACCCAGACAGGATTTATTCCATAGGGAGCTTTGTGGATACAGTGACAAGGAAGAGGGAGTATGTGGGGAGCTTCTGTTATGGCAGCACAGGCTCCCCTTTTGCCATGTCAATTAAAGACCAAAGTGCTTTCATGCTGACTGTTCACTTCCATGCTCTCCAACCACCAGCTTAGGACTTTCTCTGGTCTAGCTGGTTCCA